TCTGATTGGCTGAAAATTTCAGAGTGATTGTATTCTACCAATCATGTATCGTGGCACGGAACCACGTTGTCACGGAACTGCACCCATGCGTATACGTAGTATAAAATAGGCAATAAATTATCTCACAAGAACTATTAATAAATTTAGTATTAACTAATTATTTCTAGGATTACTAAAACGTTATGGTGCGTCCCGTCAAATGTCCCGACAATTTCACCGACAAATCCCAACAAGTCCCGACAAATGTCCTGACAAATCCCGACAAATGTACCGACAAGTCATATTGCAATAAGCACAATCGAATAAATTTCAAATGTATTACAATTCAAATATTCGTGGGAGGGCCTTTTCAAATTAACTTCTGACCGAAGAGGCACTGATTACTAAACATTTTCTTCCAATCAAATGTCGATGTATGCTTTTGCGTGTAATTTTTGTAAGAGTATGCCGTGCTCAGATGAATAGTATTATTCACACTATGTGCTGCGAGTTTTTTCCAACTTCACTGTACGTACAGTGAACTGGGAAAAAACTCGCAAGAGTTGCACCACAATATTTTTAATCATCTGATAAACACAAAATCATTGAAGCAAAGTATACGAAAAGCAATTGTCATCACTCCTTGGTAAAAAATCTCATAGTGGCACTTTCCAAACCATTTGTCCACTCAATACAAACGCCAATATTTATTCGAGTGCAACGCTTGTGAGGTTTTTACCAGTAATCAGTCTGCTATCAGCATCGCCCAAAATACTGAGCATCATGGGCGACCCAAGCACATTGATGCGCGTTTTATGTTTGTGATCTCGTTGAGAACAAGGAGTTTATTCTCCATTATTGCCCTGCCAAAGAAGAACTTGCGGACTTCTTTACCAAGGCGCACCCGGAACCCAGGTTTCGCAGGTTCTGCATCGCTCTGCGACTCTACACCCTTGGTGATTACCTTTCTGGCCGTGTATCCTAGTGAACTTTGCCTATGGCATTTCGTTTACTTTATTTTAAGCATTTATGGCTACTATTGATATTTATCATGCATTATTTGCCACCTGCTTTCTAAGCAACCACTTCTCATTCTTCGCCTTCATTCTCACCCTCGACCATGAGGCGACTTGTGCACTCTATGTCTGCTCGTGCCGTTTTGAAGTAGGCGGTCCCGTCTGACCCGCGGTGCTGCTCAAGGATCGACCGTACGAGTGGCTTCATGGTTTGTACAACTTTCTACATGGTGCTCCCACGCCTCCAATCCATCCTACTTGCAATTTATGGGTTTTTACCCCTACTCTCTGAGTATTACTTGTACTTTTGCTTCTGGCAATTTTACTTGGGTTTTTACCTGTTACTTTTAGCCACACTTTCTTATTCTTCGTTGCATATATGCACTTTGTGGTCTTTACCATGCTCATTGAGCACCCTTGTATTTATGCATTACCTTAGGTTTTTGCCTTACTCTATGAGTAACCATGCACTTATGTGCTCAACACTATTTTATGTGTGTTCCTGTCCTACCTTCTTCGCCTCTGTTCTCAGGGTGGCATTTGTAGTGAGATGCCTTTGGCATTTTTTGGCCTCCGCGAAATTTTCGCTAAGTCCTTTTGCCTCTGGCATTGCCTTCTCTTTGAGAACTTCGTCTCGAAGGCCTTCAGCAGTCCGTTGCCCAGTGGGGTGGCTGTCAAGAAGGGGCACTTTGGCCGTTCTTGCTTTGGCCTTTTTTGCCGAGGTTCGGTCACTTACGGATAATATCCGGTCATCCGGAATTATCCGGTGTTCTTTTCTGTAGAAGCCGGACTGTTTCTGCCCAACCATAGGTCAGCTAGCAGTCCGTTAATGATCACTTTTAGTTTTGCCCTCGACCACACAAGTGTTCTCGTTGTCGTCCCTCCTCAGTGCTACCTCTTTCCTTGTCCCTCTTGACACGTAGTAATTTGAAATTACCGAAATCTAACTTCGGGTTATTCACAGCTACAAACTTCGTGCTGGTCAAATTCCGCTCGGAATTTGGCTGAAATATACAAATTGGCATGTGGATTTCGTAAATTTCAACTTCAATAATAATATTCCCACAATGCCTAAGCCAATCACAATATAGCTTAATGAAACTTGCGGTTGTTCGTATTTGTTGGATGTATCGATGACCTGTTGGTAACGGTCATAGATGAAATCGAGCAAATGCAGAAAGGTGTTCGACATACCACTGCAAGACCTCCCAAACATGGCGATGATGTCAGACCACCTGTCGGGCACGCACAACATTGCAGCAGGATGCAAACGGCCTAGATTTTGTTGCATGCCGTTCGTTCACGAATCAAAATCAACATCAGCTAACGCCAGACCGACAGCAAGTCGTCCAATGTCTCTTTTGTTGCATCGGAACTTGTCCATACACTCGGCGTCATTGTAGCATGACAATCTAAACGAGACATGTGGGATGGTCAGACGTTCGGTGGCTGCGGCACGCCGTCTCAAGATCGCACGCTGTCGCATGAGTAGCAATGACTGTCGTACAGCAAGTCGAACAACAAGTAGGGCGACACGCGTACGCGTATCGACGACTGGTTGATCGCCACCGCCAACTTAGCCAATCAACAACCATTTGTTTGGTAGTAATGATTATCACATCAATATTTGAATTTCTGTGTTTGCCTAAGGTGTAATTTCAAATATACGTATCAAATCCCTGGTAACGATTCGAACGTAGTTAATTTTGGGAATTTGATCAAATTGCAGGTTTGCTAAAGGTATCTATTTTCCAGAGTTTGGAGCATCGCTGAACCTCTCAAGAAAATCAAAATCTAGCCTACCTCCGCTACCCTGTGAAAGCGCGAGGACCTCGACGCAGGATGCAGAGAATGTACAAGGGGTGACGAACTCCTCGTCATAGTGGCCTGCAATGCGAATTCGAAACTGTTGCATAGCGACTTGATCCCGTTAGTGTTGCACAAAGAAAATCCTGTTAACCGTTGCGAATAATTTAGGCACATCCTCCGGACAGATGATAAATTCAAACCGCCGCAAGTAGTCCTCATTTTTGGTAAAATATTAATCAAATGAAAATTGCGAAAAGTGTTCCTACACCCACGCTATCGGTAATACATTGATCGCGCAACGCATTCGTGTTGAATGCAATCGAATTAGTCGAGTGTATACGCGGGAATAACATAGAAAAGTGCGGTATAAGGAGCAAGATTATCGTGACCTCGATTTTTATCTTGATTAAACTATGTGACATCTTTTAGGCTTCGGACAGACAATTAACCACTAGCGTAAATCCTACCGGTATCAAAAACTCTAGTACCTATTTCAAGCGAATGAATTCAATCGATGCATTTCGTCGGCTCGAAGTTCAAAGAAATATTGACACATCAAGTTACGACATGGGTGAATATGATCACTTTGCGGAAATACTTGTGCATTGTATCCGGAATTATAACCAATCCGATCCGGGGACATAATGAACATAATGAACAGCCAATTATAATTTCGTTTTGTCGTTTTTCGAGAACATTTCTGCCAATCGATGTATACATAATTGATAGGACAAGATCGGACCAGTTCGGACAGAGTTTGTCCGAATGGATCACGAAATATGAATATGTACAATACAAACGCTAGCATTAACACATTTTTTCCTGCATATAACATTGTGTTCAGACAATTTGTAGCAATCACTTTGGCATATTTATTCTGCATGGGGATCCAAGACCTTATGCCTGCCAACACGACCAAGGCGAAGGCTACAGCGATCAAGTCGTTTACGCTCTTTGTCACAGAAGTGAATGTAACAATGGAATACATTCATGCTCAATTTGCTCTTGACCCTACTGGCGTTGCCATCGAATGTATGCTTGACAAGTTTGGGTCGTACATGGCATTCCTCGACACCAAGGGTGGGAAACTGATCGCTCGGGGCACAGTCATGTCGTACAAGTGTACTACCGCCACGTCAACTTGTGGCTATTTGAACTCTACCAACTTAGCGCCGCCGTCTCCGCCAAGCTGTTGAAAACGGGCTCAACCCTCGCTGGTACTGCATGAAGCGCAACTCTGGTGGGTTTGTCAAGAAGGCCCCGCCGTGCACGAAGGACCACCTTCGTACTCTCATGGTCTACCAGTACTCAACCGCGAAGAATGCTACCGACTACCAGGAAGCCGCTCCGTTGTGCCTGCTATGGTACCTATTTGGCCGTGCGTCGGACCTGTCGTCACTCCAGAAGGAAAATCTCACGGTCAGCGCTGCCGGCGTACTAATCGTGCGCTTGATGCGAATGCAGACATCAGATGAACAAGGTTTGTCGTTGTATTACGATGAGAAATTCCTTGGTTATTCCCTTTGCCGCAATGGCTGCTTGCTGAGGTGATGTAATCGACGCCACATACCGCTCTCCTTGGTAACTTACCATCGCTTGAGGCGTCAGTACAAGCGGAAGCGATGTGGTCGATCCCCTTGATTGACTTGCTCAACCAACCACTCGAAGCGGTCGTCGGGGTGCCGCCCGTGGATGCAGCGGCTACAATTAAGGTGCCAGTTTCTGCTCTGCCCGGAGTCCACAGTCATATCAACCGCCTACAAACAAGACCATTGCATACGTTTTTAATACCTCCAACGAAGACCAGAAGGTTGCCCGCATTTTGAGTGGTTGGTCGGCTCGGGCGATCGTGGTGGCTCCGTCGCTCGAGATTTTCGATAGTGCAACAAAGAAAGTGCTTGCACGGATGCAAGCGGTACTTTTTGAGTCTTGCATTCGCATGCAAGACAACAAGTACAACGTCAAAAACGAAGTCATCACTCTGCTTATAGTGTACCTAACACGGCCTTACCCTATGCTCAAGGCGTTGTGTGCGTCGGCGCCACTTGTCACAAGAATTGAAACGGTGGCCAAACAAGTTGGAGTCGATATCGAAGGCTTCGTCTGTGGGGAACACTGCTCCGTAATCGCAAGGCTCATGCAAGTGAAGCGGTATCGATGTCTACCATGAGTAGTTTTGCTGAGCAGCAGACTGACATGATACAAGTCCTCACCGAACAAAACAAGCGCCTGATGGACCGGATCCAAGATGTCGAGGCGACGTTGGCTGCTTCCGCGAGCACTGCAGGACAGTCGGTTGGAACAACGCCGTTTGCGAAGGGTGCAAAGCGGAATGCCGATGTACCTGAATCGGAACTGGCACCGGCGAAGAAGAGCCGAGGCGAAGCCATTATGCCGTCCACGTTGTGGTTTCAGTGGTTCACGCTGGTCCACGAACCAAGGCAACGATGGAAACCGTCGACGCCGCTCGGACATGAAGCTGCTTGTTGACTTCATGCGGATTTTTATCGAAGGTGGATGCAGCCTAGATGAGCACAAGGATGAATACCGCGACGACGTACTCAAGCTCGGGAAGTCAGCAGAGGTGAAGTTGGGATTATATTTTAAAGAAAAAGGAATCAAAGCTAAGGCGGGCGGTGCGTGCTTGAGGAAACTGCGTGAGCTACACTATGCTGGGCACTTGGATGGCCACATTCAACGCTTTGATGGGCTGTTTCGTGCCGGGCTAGTCGAAGACCCATCGCCTTTGTCATCGATTAACCAGCTACGACCATTGCAATTGAACGCGTCAATTTGATAAGTTTAAATTGATAATACTTACATTTTGAAACATGTTTGCACTGAGCGCATGGGTCCACAAAGTGCAGCCTAGTTATATAGTAGTTAGCTGTTGTTAAGATAAGGTGAGTGTACCTGGTGAGTTGCTGGTTTGAATGTTCAAGTACCATGCGGAACCACCGCAGGATTTTCGCCACCTTAGGGGGACTTACATATCAGATCATTCTACTCGGGCCCCCTTGGCGAGTAGAAGCTGCTTTTGAACTCGCAGCAAGGATGGTTAATCAGTACGCGCAACACAACAAAAGAAATGACACAAGAAAAGTTAAAATTAATTTGAATTTTAGCCTTCCAGCAACTCTAGCCGGGGCCTCACCACGGTAGTCGTTCGCGGTGCCTTGATCAGGATCGATGGTCGGCTCTAATCAAGCTAGACATGTTAGTGTATTTCAATAAATCGTGTGAGAATGTAAAAATTGTCGTACCGTAGCATCATAGTTCACCATCCCTAAACCAATACTGCTCCCGCAGTCGCCACCGTTGCCGCCGCGATCAAGCTGCCTTTTGCCCAAAAATGTCCATGCCGCCAACGCCGCGTCCATGCTGGTACTTGCGCCGCAGCCGCCTCCATACCCATGCTGCCGCTGCTGCCGCTGCCAGCACCACTATCCCAACATGCATGGTGCCAGTACTGTCACAACCACCTCTACCATAGTCGCTACACACGACAGCTCAAATTGAGGTATGTGCGATATATAGTTAATTTCTCTAATCCAATCTTTCTAGATATGCTTACCTTGAAGTAGATGGCAGGTGTTGTTGATATGTAAGTTTCACTATATGTAGGAGCAAGGTGAACAACGTTTCAGCAGAAAATAGAATGCACGAAGTTCCATGAATTGAAACATGTATTTAAGGTTCGATCACCACCTTTATAGCTCCTAGTAATGGGCATGGACGCCCGTCGAGGTTGCACTGGTGGCTTATGCTGATGTGTGTGCGATATCACAACCGCTGTTGCATTTATAGCTACCATACATTTCTTCACATTGTATGGTATTGACAAACATCGTGTCTTTATATAACGATGGCTGTTAGTGTTGATACTGGTTGATGTTTAGAGGGTTGGCGTTGATGTTAGATGTTGACGGTTGTCACGGGCGAAATAGTTTTGTCGCCGACCCTCTATCGCTGTCCGGTATCGTCGCGGGTGGAGTGTCCATTCTAAACGTGTTCGTAGTAGTGATAGCTTTCGTTGCGTAGGATGGTGTTGAAAAATACCGGATCTTTGGATGTCCACAGCTGAGATGATGACCAGGTACTGTTCGATATTGCCGAATGATGTAGCAACATACCTTAAGTCACTGTCGCCGCATTGTCAACGTCGCTGTTGTCGTCTTCGCCACAGTTCCTAAACATGTGGGATGCAATTCATTCCTTGTATTCGATGGTGTTGATGAATACCGAGGAAGTGTCGGCTAATAGTGAAATTGGGAAATGGCTGCAGAAAGACACTTTCATTCGCATAAATTTACCGTACGAGTAGTCGGTTGGCTGCTGTGTTAAACCTAACCTGTGTTGCGATGGATTCACTGTCAATTCTCATTCTTCTATTTGCATTGTACGACCGCACACACTAACTTCGATTATCCTGTACATGTACTCGGCCCACAGGCCATTAGAGCAAATCTAAATCGCACACCGAAGTTTGAATATTACTTACGCTATTTATATCGAATGAAAAGCAAGTATTTCGTTTCTGTCATTTCATTCGTCATAATATTATACTCACACCAAATCAAGAATAAAAAGCCCGCGAAGTTGTATCAATCCTTTTGTCATGGCTACACATTTGGTTTGGTCACACCATGGACACCGTAGAACGCACTGCTCTGGGTAAAATCCATCGCCACGTGTATCCCATATCGCTGAAACTTCAAGCGGTGGCGATGACGTCGACCATGCCGATCCGAAAGGTGGCGTTCGAGCTGTCGACTCCCTACTATCCCTAACTGGGTCAAGTTGGCAGAAAAGCTGCATGACTTCAAAGGAAACAAGAAGTCTACGAACTTGCCAGGTACTGGACGACCGACCATTATACCTCAACCAGAATAGCTCTTGGCATGTATGTTAATGGAATTCGCAAGGTGAGCCACCTTGCTCCTTTTTAATATCCAATCAGAGTCCATCACACCTTGCTTCTTACACACGATTGGCTATAACACTGACAGAAGAGGTTACAATTTTGAGCTTTGAATTTTGTAGAGCTTTGTGTGATGCTGCTCCAGAGAATTGTGCACTGATGAGTGCACTCCGACTATCGACTATGTCCAATGTGGTTCTCCCCTTACAGCTAACATTATGTTGTGCGCTCGGTTGGGTCGCAATGTCGTGGTGGCTCTGGTGGGCCAACGCGGTGGCGCAAGAGGTCTTGGTAGCACCCATCGCAAACGCAAAGTGCTAAAGCCGCCACTTCAACACTTGCGATGGGTGCCACCAAGACGTCTCCACCACCCGCGCAACCACGTGATCACACCGGCAGGGAGGTATACGGCACCGACACGGGCTGGATAATGGAATGAGGGATGGCCAATTTCATTGGGTTAGTAGGCAAGTGGTGAAACGATTATCTCAAGGCTCCTTGCATCAATTATCTCAAGGCTCCTTGCATCAACCGCCATCACAGGAGTAGAATATATCGCAACACGGCGTGATGAATCTACGAAGCGATTTTCGTGATTTCACGGCATCTGATTGGACAAAATTGGACAATTTTGAATTCGCAAGGTGACCTGCCTTGCGAATTCCAAAAAGAGACAGACACATGAAAAATAAAAATCATCAATACAAACTTGAAGTTATATTTAATTGAAACTATACAATTTCAGAATTATTTATGGAATTCGCAAGGTGGTTCACCTTGCGCTCCATACAAAATTGCCTATTTCACCTTGCTTTTTCTGGTTAATGTGTATTTTAAAAAGTTACTCCGGATGGATGTACGGAGTACATCGATCCGGTCACATTTATTGGTCGAGATAAATATCGAACTTTGAAGTTCGTTGACCAATTAGAACTCGTGATTGAGTCCAAAGTTCGACCTGAAGTGTGCCTTAATTTCCCTCGTTCACTGTATACTCGAGTATATTTTTATAATTGTCATAAGTTATTTGATGTTGCAGTACAGTGGAATTTACTGGTAGCCCTTGCGAGCGATGGATGAAGTAGTGCTTGTACTACGTACTGTAGTAGGAGTAATCATTAACGCTTTACCTATTTGACTGTGAGCATGACCACTTGGTTACTACGTTAGTATAAGGACTTGCGTTTGTCGTTGATGTGCTGTCTCTACATAGTGACGCTGTACCCAACTTAACTTACAGTTAAACAAAGTATCCTATCATCGTTATTTTAATTATGTGAAGCAAGCTTGGAATTTGTATGCATCAATTGTATTAATTCCTCAAATATTTCTCTGTCCGGAGCGCTGCCCGAATGGTTTTCACGTCCGAGTCGTTATGGTACAGTAGTTATGGCACATATCGAATTAGAGTAACGTTAGCTAGCATCTAATAGAGTCACACCATGTCGTCGAATGACATGGCATATGTCGAATTAGTGTACTAGTAGCATCTAATTGACTGTGAGTGACATGATATATCATGTCGTGGTGTTAAATCCCACCAACTCGTATTTTTATTGTATTTTCAGATTCAAAAATCTACATGATATACCGGTATACGTATAAAGTTCTGTTGAATTACCTGTCGCAATCAAAGGTACAAGTACCTGAAGTACAGTAGTACTTGGTACATGTAGGCAAGTGTCATAGACAGGGGTCACAGCCAAGCTGGTGAATCTGACGATTGTCCCGCATACTATTACTAGTAATAGTATGTTTCTTGCTGAATGGTCGAGGAATCCTCTTTGTGACCAGGTATCTTACATTACTGCGTGATAGAATCTCTCAAGGAGGAAAGTACAACTATATTTGCCAATAGTACTACAGTATTTTACTATACTGTACATATTCGACATTGGAATAAACAAGAGATGCGTCAATCAGAGTCCACAATACTGACGTTTGATTAGCTTATCCATTTTATCACCTGGACTAGTAGTGATTAAAAATACGCCATTTCTGATCACAGTACCAATGGTACGGCGATGTAACTAACCCTGGGAATAAGCTTAATTGTGGTCATTTGAGATAGGGACGGGGTTTCGGGGTTACACGGTTGCAAGTTAAAAGTGTGGAATTTGCAATAATCAGACGAAGTACAAATTGGTACAAATTGTACTCCTATGAATGTTTATACCTACACTGTACACTACTAGTGGTTAGCTATCGCTAACCACAGTCAACCAACTTAACCCTTAGCAAGACTTCGTGAGGCTTGTAGCCAATGAATGGCGTTAGTTCGTGAATGTTTGTACCTACACTGTAGTTCAGAGGCTAGTGGATTGGAATCAAACACAAGCCAAATAATATACAAAAAATATACTTGATTATACGGAGTAGTATGGTTTCGTCCAGGTGAGAGAATCTATCACCAAGAACTTGAAGTTAAGAGGTACCATTGGTGTATTTTACAGGATGTGGCAAGGTTCAGTTCTTGGTTTGGTGGACGTGGCAAGGTTCTTGGTTGACTTGCGTGTGTCAACTTGACTCTGAATAAAGCTACATGTATTTATTAATAGTTACTATTATGTAACTTATCCCTCAACACTGGTTCTCCATGATTTGACATGTGAATTGTAATTTCGAGCCGAGGCAATCCCTAGCGTACTATTAATAGGAACCAAACAAGCGTTTTCTTGGGAGAATGCCGAGTAAAGTTTTTCATATTGTATGATCATGAAAACACCTCTACTGTATAGTAACCACGAACACGGTACTGTACAGGGGGTCAGATCATTGGCGGGGGGTAGCGATAGCTAACCAACGGTGATAAGCATAACCCCAGTGTAACGACGTCACTCCAGTGGCGTCATAGGGTTATCGACCAATCAGAACCGACGTCACAGTTGACGTCAGTTTACAACCAAGCTCGATTGGCGTGCGGCGTGCTCGGCCATGGACACCAGAAGTTCATTCTGCAGAGCGCACGTATATATAGCATTAGATATAGTATAGTCACAGTTGTCATGCTTGTAGATGTAGATAACGCCAATCAATCTATTACAATTTCCTCTGCGTTATCAACTCCCTACAGTTGGTAGCACTCACGGTTGACAACAAGGACTTACTTCCAGGGGCATAGCTCGTAGGTTGTAAGGTTACTCTATCTAGCTCAGGCGAAGGTTAAGTTGCGACCTTTCACGGCGGCTAGTGTTGAGTTAGTGATCGCTCAGGTGTTCTTTTATTACGACGGCACTCTCCTTAGTATCCGGCATCAGGGTC